GTGATTTGATCTTTTGGAGGGCCAGAGACTGAGGCAGATATCCCCAGACACTTCGAATTGACAGACCTCTACAACTCTGTCACTCTAGTGACTTAGATGATAACTCATTTGTGTGTTTGTGTATATTTGCTTGCTTTAACCTGTAAATAACTCTTATTTCTTTTTCCTAGTTTAATAAACCTTTAGATAGTTTATTACTGGATTGGTTACAGGCATTGTCTATGGCACAGCAACGTTTGGCACACGGCTCGCCAGGGTAAGCGCCTTGGCGGGCCGGGCCAGTTTATTTACCTGCTGACGCGGCAGGTTCAGCCGATCTGGGCTCCCACGGGCCGCTGTTTGCCATCCCGGGTCAATGGGGGCGGCGGGAAGCTGCGGCCAGCCACTCGCTCGCCCTGGCCACTTCTCGGCGCCCCAATTGGCCCGGGACGGCGAACTGCGGCCAGTGGGAGCCGCGATCGGCCGAACCTGCCGCGTCAGCAGGTAAATAAACTGGCCCGGCCCGCCAAGGCGCTTACCCTGGCGAGCCGTGTGCCAAACGTTGCTGTGCCATAGACAATGCCTGTAACCAATCCAGTAATAAACTATCTAAAGGTTTATTAAACTAGGAAAAAGAAATAAGAGTTATTTACAGGTTAAAGCAAGCAAATATACACATACACACAAATGAGTTATCATCTAAGTCACTAGAGTGACAGAGTTGTAGAGATCTGTCAATTCGAAGTGTCTGGGGATATCTGCCTCAGTCTCTGGCCCTCCCAGAGTTCAAACAGCAAAGAGAGAGATAAAGTCACAGGAAATTTGTCTAATTTCTTTCATTCAGTTTTCAAGTCCATAGGATGAGCTTCCTTGCATGTAGCTTTTCCCAGGTTGGATAGGGCCATTAACCAATCCTTTGTATTGTGATGTTCCTTGATGGCTCATCTTTATTTTGATAGTCCTTCTGGATGGCTGGGGGGGGATACGATTCCCATATCTGGGTTGAGAACAAACATTTTCAAAGTTATAAAGCAAAACTTACGTATTTTTGTAGCATAGAATACAGACATTAAAAGTGAGATTCATGCATACAGCAACTTACAAGCATTTCACAGTCTAAACACTAAATGCATTCTTATAAGACTAATTTTGAGCAAAACTAACCCACAGGTGAACTGGTCCAGTCTCCAGCTACGAGTCTGTTAGTTCTTAGCTAATGCCTGCAGTCTTGGCAAGAGCTGGCACCTGGTTTGCCAGCATCACAACGAGTTCCGCAGGTTGTCTGTGCCTTGTGTGAAGAAATACTTTCTTTTGTTTGTTTTAAACCTGCTGCCTATTAATTTCATTATGGGACCCCTAGTTCTTGTGTTACATGAAGGGGTAAATAACAGTTCACTTTCTCCACCCCATTCATGATTTTATAGATTTCTATCATTTCCCCCCTTAGTTGTCTCATTTCTAAGATAAACAGAAACAGTCTTTTTAATCTCTCCTCAAAAGGAAGCTGTTCCATACCACTAATCATTTTTATTGTTCTTCTCTGTACCTTTTCCAAGATGGGGCGACTAGAACTACATGCAGCATTCAAGGTGTGGGCATACCATGGATTCGTATAGTGGAATTACATTTTCTGTCTTAACTATTCCTTTCCTAATGGTTCCCAATACTGTTCATTTTTTTTACTACCGCTGCACACTGAGCGTTTATTTTCAGAGAACTATTCATGTTGATTCCAAGATCACTTTCTTTAGTAGTAACAGCCAATTTAGATCCCATCTTTTTAGTTTAGTATAGTTTGGATTATGTTTTCCAACATGCATTTCTTTGCACTTATCAACACTGAATTTCATTTGCCATTTTGTTGCCCAATCACCCAGTTTATGAGATCCCTTTGTAACGCTTCACAGTCTGCTTTGGACTTAACTAACTTGAGTAATTTTGTATTGTCTGCAAACTTTGCCACTTCACTATTTACCCCCCCCCCCCATTTCCAGATCATCTATGAATATGTTGAATAACACAGGTCCCAGCACAGATCCTTACGGATAACCACTTTCCATTGTGAAAACTGACCATTTATTCCCATCCTTTTAACTAGTTACTGATCCATGAGAGAACCTTCTCTCTTATCCCATGAGTGCTTACTTTGCTTAAGAGCCTTTGGTGTGGGACCTTGCCAAAAGCTTTTAGAAAGTCCAAGTACACTATAACACAACTGGATCACACTTGTCCACATGCTTGTTGACACCCTCAAAGAGTTCTAACAGATTGGTGAGGCAGGATTTCTCTTTACAAAAGTCATGTTGACGCTTCCCCAATATATCGTGTTCATCTATGTGTCTGATTATTCTGTTTTTTTTTTTTACTATAGTTTCAACCAATTTGCCTGGTCCTCAAATTAGGCCTATGGTACATCTACACTGCAACATAGGCCCATGCTAGCGCTTCTATTGCTTTGCAGTGTATACACAGCCCCACTTGCTCATGTCCAGTAGTAGTCTGCCAGAAATAACCCACAATTCCATGGGACAACTTCCTTAGTTATCTTTATCCCAACAAGCTCCAATCCACTCTATTGAAACCGGAAACTACTCCCTCGTTAGGGGGCTTATTTTTTTTACCCTCTTACTTCCCTGGTCCTTCTTGCATGAACAGAGAGCAACAATACCCGAAGTCCAAAGGCGCAAACAATTTGATGTTTATTGGAGTGAACTTTCTGCAAGCATGATTCCAGTTTCCTTCCTTAGTGTCCCCCTTCCCATGTTTGACACCACAGAGCCTTGCCTATGTCCCTGTTCCCATTCCCTGTTCCCATTCCCCCCCTTAGCAAAACATGATCCCAATTCCCCCACCCCCTGTTCCCATTCCCCCCTTACTTCCTGATTAACTGCAGACTATATAGTAAAACTTAAGTTCAGCTTAGCTATACCTTAACCAATCATTTTACTGAAATTTAACTAACCAATCCTAACATACTGCAACATGGTTATTTAACCAAATATATTCCACCACCTTAATTAGTTTACACCCAACAAAATTAATTATACAGCAGACAAAAACAATTACAAAACCAGAAACCATGCAAATAAACATACAAAACAATACAAAAGTAAAAATTTCACAACTACATCTGTACAAACATAAGGGTTTTCCAGCTGTGTCTATTAATAAGTAAGTTTTTACCAAACAGAAAACTATCAAACTAAATTTTCTTTTACATGTTCTAGGCCCTTTCCTTTCTCTAGAGGTGATAAAAATACAATTTTGTCCTGATATTCCTAACAGCCCAAAGCACCTTATTTCCATGTGACTAGTTTCAAATGTAAAAATGTGACCATTCACTTCTCAGCTTATGGCTGCCTCCGCTGCTTAGCTAAAGGCCTTACTTAGCCTAAGAACAGAGCCTCAGACTGTCCCTTAGAATTAAAATTACTTTTTGTATGTGTTTCTTTTATACCTCTATAACTAGCTAAGTAATAAAAAATACATCTAAATTCTTAAAGTATAGGCCTTTACAAACGGGCCTGAATATCTATATCCTAACACAGCAGACAGAAACAATTACAGAACCAGACAGAGACCATGCAAATAAACATACAAAACAATACAGACGCAAGGATTTCACATTCCAGCTATTGATAAGTGAGTTCTTGCCAGACAGGATGCCATTAAACTAAATTTCCTTTTACATCTTCTAGGCTCTTCCCTTTCTCTGGAGGTGATAGGAATACAATCCAGTCCTGATATTCCTAACAGCCCAATAGCACCTTATTTCAATGTGACTAGTTTGGAATGTAAGGATGTGACCACACATTTCCCAGTTTATGGCTGCCTCTGCTGCTTAGCCGAAGGCCTTAGCCTAAGAAATCCAGGCCTCAGACGGTCCCTTACACATACAGAGAGTGATTTTGATTCTCTCTTTTATACCTCTATAACTAGCTGAGTGATAATAATACACCTACATTCTTAAAGTACAGGCCTTTACAGACAGGCTTGAATATCTATATCCTAACACTCCACCCCTTTTTTTTCTTCTTTTTCTTTTGGGATTTTCCTGCCCAGGTATTCCTGGAAAAGCATAGGACGTATGGCGACATTTTTTGATAGGGCCAGGCATTAAGGCGAAAGGTGTTGATATTTTATTTGTTTCACTGGCCCTTGTGTAGTACAGTGCCCTGCACCTTTTCTCGAACGGGCATACCACATTTATTTTAATTAGTGTTTTAGACTTTCCACTATAGTGGGCCCAAGAAGGTTGGGTTTGGGTTGTTTTGCACACTGCGGAGTGAAGAGGGCTTACTACATTACTTATAGGTTATTTTTATATGCAACATAACACAGGTACAGTTAACAATTTACAGCAACACCGAGTCCTGACCACTGCAGTATGGTCCAATATTTGAGCCACCACCAAAACACTGCCTTTTTTTTCTTTGACAGGGTTAAAATTTTAATGTGTCCAGTTGCTGGCAGTTGCAACAAGCTGCCCCTGCAGGTTTTGCATAGGGCTACCATACGTCCGGATTTCCCCGGACATGTCCGGCTTTTTGATCTATAAATAGCCGTCGGGGGGGGGGGGGGGGGAAGAGAGATTTCTAAAAATCTAAAAAATGTCCAGGATATCCCCCGGTTGGCTATTTATAGATTGAAAAGCAGCAGCCAAGCACCGCTCGGCAGCCAAAGCCCCTTCCCGGCTCCCTCCATCCCCTGCAGCCTTAGCACGCCGTCCAGCCCAGCAGCTGTCCTTCCCCCTCCTCCCCTCCCCTGAACGCTCCGCCCCCTGCTCCCCCCCGCCCCTGCTTCCCACAAATAAGATGTTCGCGGTAAGTCTGAAAAGAAGCGGGGGCAGGCGGGCAGCAGCAGGTAAGCTGGGGCGGCGGGGGAGGAACACGAGGAGGAGGGCTCCGGGGAGGCGCAGCGCAGCCCAGTCCGGCCCCAGACGAGCAGCTCCCTCCGGCCCCGGCCGCTCCAGCCCAGCTCGGGCCCCAGACCCAGTTCCGGCCAAGCGGCGCCGGCCTGGCCCTGGGCAAGCAGCGCCGGCCAAGCACCCCCTGCCCCGGCCCCAGCGGCTCCGGCTCGGCCCCCAGGGCAGCGGCACCGGTTCTGGCCGAGTGCGCCGGCCCCGACGACTCCGGCCCGGATCGGGCCCCAGGGCGGCAACCCCAGTTCCGGCCGAGAGTACCAGCCCCGGCCCCAGCGGTTCCAGCCCGGCTCGGGCCCCAGTACGGCGGCTCCGGTTCCGACTGAGCGCACTGGCCCCGGCGGCTCCAGCCTGGCCCCGATCCCAGGGCGGGCGGCCTGGCCCCAAGCCCTGCGACCCTGGCCGGAGCTCCGGCTGGAGCACAGCCCGATTCCTGGGCTCTCATTAAAGGCCCTGGTCAGGGGACACGGGAGGGGGGGGGGGGGTTGGATGGGTCGGGAGTTCTGGGGATCCTGTCAGGGGGCGGGGAGCAGTTGGCTAGGACATGGGAGTCCTGGGGGGTCTGTCTGGGGGCAGGGGTGTGAATATGGGGTGGGGGTGTGGATAAGGGTCGGGGCAGTCAGGGGACAGGTAGGGTCCTAGGGGGGCAGTTAGGGTGGCACACACACACTTTCTCTTAGGGTTAACCTGTCCCCCTTATTTTTAGGCTTGACTTGCTTTTTCACCTCCCTTTTCTGGAGGGCCATAATTTGAGTCTTTTAGTAGCTTGTTTGCTGACCAGATGTATTTATTATTTGCAGATTCTTTGTGCTGCTACTTATGGGCAGTTTTCTCCTTTCCCCAACAGCTAGGTAATTTGCATTTACACAGAGGCTTTTTTGGCTTGCCTTTGGATTCAAAGCTATTAGCAGCTTAGAGACTGTCTTAAAAGGGACATATTTCACTTTCACCAGAGTTTTGATTACTTTTCACTTTCATCTCCTGATCCAAAACACACACAGATTTGAAAAAGAAAGCACAGCCTATTGTGGCTTCTTTTGGAGCCCTAACAGGATTTTAATTAATTTCCATGTTTT